GTGAGCTCTAAAATAAAGAAAATGCTCTCGTTTTAATTGAGCGCTTGGGATATATTTTGTCTTGTTAGTATATTTTAAATAGAGTTTTTTGCGCATAGTAGAAAATGATTAAAAGAAAACAAGATATTTGTATTAAAATGCTTGAGATATAATAGTAATGTAATTATGCAGAGAGGTGACTCACAGTTCAAAGATTATACATTTTGCGACGATCATTCTTTATTTTAAATATTAATTAAATTCATATGATACCCTCCACAAGAAATTCGTATGCCGAATTCATGAGAAACTATAACTGTTAAGAAGCTATTTATCTATTACGAAATTATAACTATTCATACGAAACTATTTATGTGAAATTCAGAAGAAACTAAAAATATTCTATTCATAAGAAACTATTTATTTAATACGAAACTATAACTATTTATATGAAGCTATTTATGTATTACAAAATTGTAACTATTCATGTGAAACAATTTACCTATTACTAAACTATGTATTAGTATTAATTAAATTCATATGAGACTACTTATTTATTAAATTAATTGTTACTATATTTTTATTAAACTATTTATTTTATATGAAGAATATTCTTGGCTTATGAATACTCAATATCTTCTTATCTAAAAATTTCTAGAGCTTTAAAATTCTGGGTGTTTCTCACATGTAGCAATTTTTTCTTCCCTCAAAATCCAACTCAACACACGCAGTGTTAAGAAAGATTTTTAAATTAATGTGTAAGAAAATAGGATCGCAAATTTTAACATCGCACCAGATGATTTGTTAAGGTTTTTCTATGCTCTCTTTGAGCATCGCAGGTTACCAATCTGCTCTTTTAGACTCACTCCGACTAATACAATTTTATTTTTAAGTTTTATTATTAAGCATCGCTTTCTTCGCACTTACGCCACAGAAAATTCAACAGCAAAACCACAAAATATTTAAAAACAAGATATTTTTGGTATTCCTGTTAAATGTTAGGAGTTACAGTACAATTTTTTATATTCGTTATGTTATTTCTTTAAAAACTAGTCTTTCGAGCAGGCAGCCGCCTAAAAGAGTTATCATAAAATATATAGAGAGTGATTTTAATTAGTCCAGCTTGTTTCGTTTCATAAAAATATTAAATATTTCTAATTAGACATCTCACGATTTAAATGCATTTTTATATCCACCAATCAGATTAAAAAGTAGAAAAAATATTTTTTCAGGACTGCGCCTGTTGCTCTTTGATCACTTCGTTTCCTACTCAGTAACAGTTGAAAGTTAAATATTTTAGGCTTTCCTGAATGGCAACACGTTGGAGCGTGGAGATAACAAGTATATTGTTTGATGCAATGGCAACACAATGTTTTCTGTGTAACCTAATTTGTGGATTAAAGTTGAAAGATAAGTATCTCACATTTTGCGAAATGGCAACAGTTTGGTTCGCTGGAGATAAAATTGTTTTACTTCGAACAGAGTTGCCGCTTTTCACTTTCAATGTGCTGAGTTTATTGAACAAAAATTCGTTGGATTCGTGCAAAATATGAAATAAATCAAAAACCAATACGAAATTAGTGCTTCGCAGTCCCTATGTTTGGGTGGAGGACTACGTGTATGAAAAATTCGGTGGCTCTAAGGTGCCGTCATTTTCCCGTAAATGCCAGGAACATACATACCATACGTACAGATTCTTCATTATTTAATTTCTTTTTCAAATAATATATAACATGTGGTGGCAACAATTTGAAAACCTATGGGAACACAAAAGTAATACAATCAAAAAGTGGAGACTAAACTCACCTCTGGTGGTAAAAAGTTGCAACAAATCAAGTCTACCTTTACAATTTCAAACGTTCTTTATTTTCTGATGAGAAGAGTGGAAAAAGTTAGCTGATATTTCTTTTTTCTTTTTTATTAAGACTTTTTTCGGAGTTTGCGGCACACCTTTCTTTATTAATATGGTAGCTTATATTGTTTTTTCAATTCGCACAAACTGACCTAAGAAAGCGCCTTGCGAATAATACTTTTTTTTATGAATTGTATATTATATTAAATTTCGACGTTGAAGTTAATTATATTAAAAACATCTCTGTAATTCGTAAATTAAACAAAATATGACAGGAAAAATAAATAATAAAATAGTAACCAATGTAGACTACACATTGATTACTGTTAAGAAATTTTAGCCCAAAAGACTAGTAACCCTTCTGGGCTCGATACAGCTATCTCTCTGTTTTTTTTTTTTTTTTTTTCCCTTTTTTAAAGCCCAAAGGAGCAATTTTCCCAGAAGGGCTATTATTTTCATTTTGGCATTTTGCGTCGGTTCACTATAAACAACGAATCACTTTATAAATTGTTACCAGAGCCCAGTATTATATTTAAAATAATTAAATGATGAAGAATCTGCATACATATATGCATGTTTTTCGCACTGTGATAAAACAACGGTACTTAGAGGCATCAAGTTTTGAATAACGAATATGGGCTACTGGAAGCCATAACTTGGAATTTGTTTTATGATCTATTTCATATTTTGTAGAGCATTTATGAGTTTTTGATTAAGAAACTCGACGATTTCAAAGCGAGCAATGACAACACTACAGGGGGGGGGAATCTCTAGCACAAAAGTGTGTTTCGGAAACTCTAAAGATATGCTCTATTAAATATTTTATGATATTACTGTTGAATTAAATTTCATGGCTTAAGTGCGAATAACATGATTTTTGATAATTAAAGGAAGGTTACACACGAAACGTTAAAAAAAGTTTCTTTGGGCTTAATATAAAATCTGAAGGCTTTGATTTCTTTTTTTTTTTTTTTTTTTTTAAATTGCAATGATTTCAAAACTCATGAACATAGCTTACTTGTGAAAGCAAATTGTTAGAAATTTAAGGAAACGCTATCATTATTTTACGTTTAAAAATTAAATAAATAAAATTTAAATTACTATGCTGTATTTTAAAAGCATGTTGCTCTTCTTACCAAAATTTTATTTTAAAAATTTATATTCTTATTTTCAATTATTTTAATTATTGAAATTGAACAGCTTTGAAAAAATGCCGTTTAATAAAAAGAAGATGTCATTAAAGATATTACCGCAACATATCACACTATCTTCAAAATCTTATTCCCTGCCCTTTGCCTACCAGACAGTTTCCCTTAGAAAATCCTTCACGAAGGCGTGCATGCAGTAGCTGTAATTCACGGTGATTGGATACATCCAATAAAATTCTTCATTATGCACATTCCGTTTTTTTCCTCGTGAAATAAAATTTTTATAAAATTAATTGCTTTATGACCCCCCCTCCAAAGTTACATTATCGTTTACAGCACATATAAAAAAGGATAAGGAAATTAATGTGTCCTAGGAGTAACTTGAGAGAAGTTGTTTGATATTTTCCGATGTTTATCTTCCGATATCAGGTTACTCTTAGATATACTTACAATAAATGCGACCGATAACGAAGAAATAAAGCTCTCAAAATTTTAAAGTAATATTATCATTTAAATTATTATATTCAGTTTTTTTTTTTTTTAAGGAAAATCCTTTATACTCCCTGTATTTTTTTTTTTTTTTTGTTTTCCTCTTGCTTAAATTACGAATTATTGTACTTCCTATAATTACCCATTGTTATAATAAAATCCACTGAATAAAACACTGTTGCTTCCTGAGAATTATATACACATGAACATGAATGTCCAGTTTATTGACCAACAATGAGCTTTCCTTGTTTTTTTATCTGTGAGTCTCCCCTCCTACTTTCTTTCGTCTGATCGATAATCGGCCAATAATGGGGGTGTTCGAATTCGAACAGGTCCTGTTAAAAGGACAGCACTGCAATTGGCCAGCCGTTTGCTACCCCGTTGGCCAATGGCGACCGAACGCCTACTCTTCAGGACCCACGTTGGTGACCTACCGCGCGTGGCGGTGACGTCACTTGGCAGATGAGGTTACTAGCGTTGGCGAAAACTCGGAAATGCTTTTATTTTTATTACTTCACGCCAAGTATGTCGCGAAAGAATCATTTTATAAACAAAAGCATGGAGCTAGTGTACTTACGGAAAACTTTGAAAAGAAATTATATTATTTAATATAATTCAATTTTTTTATTAAAAACGAACTAATTGTATGTAATGTTTAATTTGTCATTCGTTTGAAAACTATAAGGAGGAGGAGAAAAAATGTGCTGCGATCTTCTCGCTTTTGAAACGGTAAATATGCATAATTTATTCAAAAATTAAGTAAACTTAAATTTACGCATAACATCAATTTTCAAATGGTAATATATAAGGAAGCATGTCATCTATATTGAATCTTGTAAAACACTAAGAGTAGTCAAATTATTAGTTTAATGGGCATAATTATGTAATTATTTATTTAACACATTAATTATTCCATGAAATTAATTTGTGCTTGAATAACATAATTAAATTTTTAATTAATTACTAATAAAACTTTAAATAAAATAATGTAACAAATGATATAAAAATATTTAATTACTTAGAATAAAAATATAGAAGCTAAAATAGTGTATTATTTAATTTATTTCAGTTTAATAAACGGATTTGTAGATATATATTGTACAGTAAAAATATTTTGCAAAATCATTATTCGGATGAAAGTTTTATCATATTTTTCAAAAACAATGCTTAATTTTTCTCATATGTTTAGTTTTTAATGTATAATATTGAATTATTTCCATTTCTACGAATTTCTGCAACAATTTTAATTATTTATATACTCAATATTTAGCGAATAATCTGTGATACAATTATAACTATCTTAAAAGTAATAAAAATAAATGAAAAATATTATTTTACTCATTAAACGGTTAGTGAGAAGAGAAAAAATAAATACAAAATTTAAAATGAAAAATGACTTATGGCGCCAAATAAGCGAAAAGACGCCAAATCATATAACTACTATGGCAACCCGTGGCGAGTGTTAACTCCCGCGAGGTCGCCGGGAACGACCCGAACGTCGCGATGATTCCCGACCGTCCGTAGTTGCAGCCAGACCAGCGACTAACATCACTGTGCCATGTGCCAGTAACGTCTACCGCAATTCCGATCCTTCGCACGCCGCGAGCTTCCGATATCTGTGCCGCTAGCATTTGGCGACGTCGTCGCTGCCTAGGCCTAGCTATTATCTCTCTGGATTTATATACTTAAGCATTAAAACTCTTTGTCATCTGTGTTTGTGACTGACGAAAGAAGTTCCTCGTGTTTATTAGCAAGTGGTTTCTAATAACCATGAAGTGATGCGTGTGTAATTTAATGAAGTGCGTGCCACCAGAGGGCGTTGTCCGTCAATGCCCCAATGAAACTGTCAGTCAAACTGCGACCGACAGTTGAAGGTCGATCGTCTGAAATTTCTCGTTTGCTCTCCCCTCCTCTACCGCTGTTCGAAGGAAGATGTTTTCTTAGAGGTGAGATATTCTTATGGTTGTTATATTTTTTGCCTGGTAAATAGCGCAGTAGCATGCTTTCGGATTTATTAGCTGTTTTCCCAGATATACTTCCTTTATTTACTTTTCGTTATTGTAAACAAATAACTTTTCCCTACCGAGTTCATTAACTACCAAGTATATATAAGTTTGTTTTTAACCCGCGTATTAGATCGCAATTATTTACTTCTTTTATCTTCAAGAACTAGATTTTTCTCATAAAATTTTGAGGGAAAAAGCTTTTCAACGTTATTTTATTTGCTGTGTACGCGAGTTGAGTTTTTACTTAAATTTGATTGATTTAACGCTTTCAAGGGAGGGAAAATCCAATTCCTTCGCGGTTTATGTTGATGTAACTCGACTCAGTAACTTTAAAAAACAGTTCTCTTAAATTTAAATCTGAAATGACATTTCTATTTAAAAATTAAATTTTATGTTAAAAGAATATTTCCATCCAAAATATTTCTAGAATTCGTGTTTGTTACAAAATTTCCACTATTTTTGGTCATATAATTTTAATTTTGAAATTATAAAGTGGCAATACTGAGTTCTTTTCTGGCAGTATACTATGTTATATTGAATATTGTGAATTTTATCTTGAATACATCCATTGCTTTAGGACTATTATTTCGTCTATTTAGAAATATTCATATTACGCGGAAGAAATCCGTTTACGAGTTAAAGTTTATGAAATAAAAAGTTTTAAAATTTTTTGAAAAAGTGTATATAACTTAATTAAAATTATATCAAGATTTATTATTTCTTTTCATTCTAGAAGTAATCTTCTAATGTTTCATACGCATTTGGATTTTGGCATGGTTTATTTTTGCATGTTTGTTTCGGGAATTTTTCTGCTACGTAAAATAGAATATGAAGCTCTGAAATTGAATCATATTTTAGTTTTAAACGTGAGAAACAAAAGTATACTTTGCCAGATGTACAATTTTAATGTACTTTTTCTTGCTATATTAAATTTCTGCAGATTATTTTGAAAGCAGCGTTTCCGGACTGCAATGACCGCAAAAAGCAAACGCTAGCGAGTCATTTTTAATGTGACGTAAATCGGCACTAACCAATCAGGTTATCCGATAAAAGAGTGCTAGTTTTTGTATTACAACTGTTGGTAGTGTTTACAGCTTATTATAAGCATGTCTTGCTGACCTTTTCTGGTTAAAAAGAAACTTGTTCCTTATTATTGATGTAACTGAACTTTGCGACAAAAGTTGCCCACGTTGTATGAGTAATAAAACCGTGCATAAATTACACGAGTCAAGCATATATTATATGAGTTAGTTATTTTTTAAAATAGATTTTAAGGAATAGATAAACAGCAGAAGAGTTTTGTATATTAAGCTATTAAATTATAAATATGTACTTTTAGTGATTTTCTTTTATTTTTCACAAAGAATTTTTTCAACTCGGCAAATTTTTCTTCCCATTTAATGATAAATATTCGAACATGGGTAAGTTGTGTCGCAGTTGGCTTTACTAAAAAAAAAAAAAAAGACCTTTATCATTTTTCTGTTTTAATATAATGAATAGCATTCACACAAAATCCAAACTTATATTTGTTAATTAAATATGCATCTTTCATATATAATAATTCAGGACAAATTTAAATCTTCTTCCTTAGAAATCGGGATTATAAGGAAAAACTATAATACCTTTTCCCATATTAATGTTAAAAAGTTAAAAATTACGAAATTAACTGAAAAACTGCATTTCGAAACTGCATAAAAATAGTTTTTATTTTAAGTAATTTATTTAATTATTTTTTATTTTAAGTAAATATGTGTAATGTTTTCAAGTATTTATACTTTTTACACAAATTGTTTTTTCCATTTAAAATATTTTTCTCTTAAATATTAAGTTATTTTTCATTTACAACACTAAATTCTTATTTGATTCTTAATGCTGTTTTTTCTATTACTGAACACTTGTTTTTCATTGAATATTTCACCGTAAAATGTGTCTGAATATTCTAATCAAAATAAATATTTTCGTATACATAACAGTTTTACTGTCATCTTCCGCATAATTTCTAATAAAAATTTAACTTCCGTTTGAATTAAGTAATTTTAGTTTGCCTCAGAAAGTTAATTTCTTCTTTAAAGTTTATTGTGCACGAAAGCTAAAAGAAAGTTACAAACATTTGAGGCACTGGAAAAGTGTATTTAACTATATACAGTTCCGTTATAAATCAATATTAGTTATATATCTTTCTTATAATCTTGGCGTAATGTTTTGTGTACTTCATGTTCCGAAGTGGTAGAAATGACTTGTACTGAATATGGGAAAAAAAAAAAAAAATTAACAGTTTTTTAATAAGTCTTTTAAAAATATTTTTATTTTTAACGTATTGTTTGATTAAAAACTGGGGAAGAGAGATCTATTCAGTTAAAATTTACTTGAGGTCAGGTATTTTAAGGAGAGGAGAAACATTTTTTCTTTCTTTCTTTTTTTTTTTTCGTTCTTTTATCTCTCTTTTTTATATACATGCATTGGCTTTTAAGGGAATATAATAAATATGTTGAAAGTGTGCTATTTTTGCCTTTACCAACTAGACGTCAATTTTAATAATTTACAATATATCAATGTAAAGCCCTAAATTTTAATATTTCACGCTTCATATTTGAAGGCGATTTCTCGTTTTAATATTCCTAGTATCAATTTTATTCTTTTCTGGTGCCATTTAACACTTTTGGGAAATAACACACACAAAAAAATCATTCGCTAGCAAAGAAATTTCATTCTTCAGATACACATTAGATCAGTAAAGAGAACTACATTTTCGTTCATATTCTTTAAAAACAGTAGATTCACAAATTCGAAGGGGGGAAAGAGTGTGGCAAATTTGTTGCTAGTTTACGAGCAAACATTATTTTGTGGCCGAGCGCATAGAAGTTTCTTTTTAGACTAACTGTGTAATGGTTTTAATATTATCAGTTTAATATGTTATAAATTAAATCAAATAAACGTAAAAGAACGATAAAAATGATTAAAAGCAAAGTTATCGTTTTTAATTTTTTAGTTGTTTCAGGGATAAATAATATGATTTTATAGTTTGAAAGCTAAATTAAAGATCTAGTTTCGTATGCATTCTTAAAGAATCGTTAAAGTTGCGCGTACATGATTAATAGTGCGGTAAGATAACACGATGTGAAAATGAAACCCGACTACAGACACTTCTAATATCCAAACAATAGTTAAATATTTGATATGACTAACTATCCTAATTATATCTGTTTTTATTTATTAAAATCGCAAAATTATAATTGTTTCGATGTGAGTGCAAAAAGAATAGAACTTATTTAGTTATTTAGATTAGTTTTTAGGATTAATCATTATTTAAGAAAAGCGAGATTTAAAAATATTTGAGAACGTTACCATCTCAATCTGTTAGTTTTCAGGAAAACGTTTTAGCATTCTGTTGTTTATATGTTTAATACTGAACTATGGTTTTCCTATTTCATAGTTCTTAAGACGTTCCATATTTCCTAAGACGACACTTTTGCTTTCATAAGATTGCCCAAATTATAAGAAGTAATACGATTTTTTTTCTTACGCTCTTATATGTATTTTTATCAGTATGTATTCCGAGTTGAACTAGTAATATGCCTGTCATATTTTAAGAATGATTCAGAGTACATTCATGTTTTAGAAATTAAAAGTATAAATTTATCCGAAATATTTTGAATATTAGTTCCATCTGAATGGTTGTCATTTAATTGAGGAGAGAAAATAAATTATGAAAGATTAATTACATAAATCATTATCAAAATCCATTAAAAACTATCATTTGTTCCCTGATCCAAAAATGGCATCCATTTTTATGCTAATATATCACTTAATTGCGTAAACAAGGATATAATTTCTTCGATAATTAGCACTAATTATCATAATGTACAGTTTAATTATGTTTATATAGAAAAATATGCGAGAGGTTTCAAATGTGAATGAATGTATGTATAGGCAGTGGGTGGGTGGGATCTAATTAACACATTATAAGAAAGTGAAAATGTGTCACATATTCTTATACAGTAAAGTAGCATTTCTATATCTTTCAAGGAATCTCTCAAAAAGACATATAATCAGAGTTTCTTGTTAAGAATGCGATATGTGTATTTTGGCTGTAGCATTTGAACAATACCAGAGTTGTTATGCAAATCCAAGTTGATCGTGCTTTAGTTTATATAAATTACTACAGGTAAAAATGTATTTTACTCTTAAACTCGTAAGGACTAGAAATACGTAATATTTAATAAAAAATGGAATATTAATAGATTTATCTTAATTGATCATCTTGAATAAATAACACATTTTTTTTTTTTTTTTTTTTTTTTTTTTTTTTCAGGGATGTTTTAACATGAATTCGGATTTTAATTTTTTCCGAAGATAAAAAGTTTCAAGCGCTCTTTGAGTCTGAATTTTAAGCGAATCACAAACAGCATAAGGGAAAAAAAAAATTCCTTACCGTTGTATGTTCTAACCCTCTAAGCGATCTGCTTTCGATTCAAAATCTGGTTTTAAATTCCTGTCCAATCTGAGATTTTCCACATCTTCCTCCCTCTTCTATCGCAATATAATACTTGTGCTATTCAAATGCCAGCGAAAGAAAAAAAATTACTCTCGAAGAAACTGTTTGGACTGCCTAAGTAAATGTCGATGAGCAAGGGCAGAAACGATATAACCATATAAATATATTTTTTTTAATATTAGTGTGAGTAGGAATGAGTGGGAGAATAGATGAAAATTGAAACGTATAAACGATGTTTCTCTGAATTAGTTCGCTTTAAAAAGCAGTAATTTAAAATTGAAAAAATCCAACCAAAATAATAACAGGGGGGGGGGGAACTCGTTTTGTCGATTAACATCTTTCCAGATTAGTTTTTTTTTTTTTTTTTTTTTTTATAATTTCTTTGCTAGTTTTGCTGTCAATCTTAAATTCCTGTTTAACCGGGAAATACCCAAGTTCATTTAAG